TCCCCCAATTTTCCCAGGTTTTTCCCCAATTTTCGGGGATTTTCCCAAGTTTTCCGGGATTTCCCCCAATTTTCCCAGGTTTTTCCCCAATTTTCTGGGATTTTCCCAGGTTTTCCAGGTTTTTCCCCAATTTTCTGAGATTTTCCCAGGTTTTACGGGATTTCCCCCAATTTTTTCCAGGATTTCCCCCAATTTTCCCAGGTTTTTCCCCAATTTTCTGGGATTTTCCCAGGTTTTCCCCCAATTTTTTCCGAGATTTCCCCCAATTTTCTGAGATTTTCCCAGGTTTTACGCGATTTTCCCAATTTTTTCCGGGATTTCCCCCAATTTTCCCAGGTTTTTCCCCAATTTTCTGGGATTTCCCCCAATTTTCCCAGGTTTTTCCCCAATTTTCTGAGATTTTCCCAGGTTTTACGGGATTTCCCCCAATTTTTTCTGGGATTTCCCCCAATTTTCCCAGGTTTTTCCCCAATTTTCTGGGATTTCCCCAGGTTTTCCGGGATTTTCCAAAATTTTTTCTGGGATTTCCCCCAATTTTCCCAGGTTTTTTCCCAATTACCAGAGATTTTCCCAGGTTTTTTGGGATTTCCCCCAATTTTTTCTGGGATTTTCCCAGGTTTTCCCCCAATTTCCCAGGATTTTCCCCAATTTCCCGGGATTTTCCCAAGTTTTTCCCCAATTATCCAAGATTTTCCCCAGTTTTTTAGGATTTACCCCAATTTTTTCTGGGATTTCCCCCAATTTTCCCAGGTTTTTCCCCAATTTTCGGGGATTTTCCCAGGTTTTCCAGGTTTTCCCCCAATTTTCAGAGATTTCCCCAATTTTCTGGGATTTTTTCCAGTGTTTTTCTGGGAATTGTGGTGGGTGTATCAGGGGCAGCTGGAATTCTCTGGGATTGGCTGAATTTGGGATTCTCTGGAATTCCAGGCCCCTGGAATTCTGTGGGATTGACATCACCTGGAATTTCTCTGGAATTTCTGTGGAAATTTGTTGAAATCCCTGGAATTTTCCAGCAATTTCTGCCGTTTTCGGGCCCTTTGGAAAACCCTCCCGGGCACCGGGGGAATTCCCGGATTTTGGGGCATTTTTCCCGCTGAGAATTCCAGGAATTCCCCGGAATTGGTCACACCTGGAATTCTCTGGGATTGACAACACCTGGAATTTCAGTGGAATTTCTCTGGAATTTCTGTGGAATTTCTGTGGAATTTTTGCGGAATTTCAGTGGAATTTTTGCGGAATTTCAGTGGAATTTTTGCGGAATTTCTGTGGAATTTTTGCGGAATTTCAGTGGAATTTTTGCGGAATTTCTGTGGAAT